CAAGAATCCAAATAAAAACCGTAAGAACCATGAATCGAATTGAAAGCCGACGCCAAAGGAATCCAATTGAAAGCCGTTGGAGAACTCGCGGCGTCCTCTTAACGCTGGGGTGGAATCCTATGAGGAGCCCGAAAGGGCTCAAACAGAACCAAAGAATACCAAAAGAAGCTACCCAGAACACCCGCAACAAAATCAATTCTGTTGCGGGCTCGCTGCTGACATCCTAGAAACCCTTTGGAAGGAACCCCGCGGGCTCCACTCGCAAGAGCCTAAGATTGCCCAGAAAGAGTGGGATCCAAGAGGGCTCCAAGAAAACTCAAGAATGCTCAACGAAGCTGCCCAGAACACCCGCAACAAAATCAAATTTGTTGCGGGTGCGCTGCGGGCATCCCGGAACTCCTCTTAGACGGTCCCCAGAAACTTCGCAGAGCTCTCGCAACACTCCATGGTATTCACAGGAGGGAAATCAAGAGAGCTCAAAGAGAGCCCACGATATGCCATAGAGAACTCCGAAATCTCTTGGGCCTCCAGGGGCGTGGTTTTTTTTTTTTTGCAAATTTCAGAGACTTTGAAATTTTCACCAAAAAAATCAAACATGCAAAATTCCGAGGCCCCAGGAACCGCAGACAAAGCTACCAGAATGGCCGAAAACTCCTGGACCAACTCCTGGACCTCCAGAACATTAATTTTTGTAGTGGGAATTCTGGGAACTTTTTAATACTTTCAAGCGCCTGTTCTTTTTAAAATAAAAAAAGGAAACCACAGCGAGAAGCAGGAAGCGGAGGAAAATGAAGAGGAGAAGGGAGAGAAGGACGAGGAGGAGGAGGAAAGGAGTGAAAGAGGAGGACGAGGAGGAGGAGGAGCGGCAGGAGGGAGAAGGGAGCGGTGGTGGGCGCCGACAGAGGGTCGTCCGCGGGAACGAACAACCCTAGGCTAGGGAAGGAGGGCACGCGGGAGACAGCAGGGCGCGCCTGGCGCGAGCTTGCTGCACTTCGCGCACAGGAGGCGGCCGCCAGCGGCGGCGGCGGGCGACGGCAGCAGCGCCGACGCCAAAGAACAAAACGAGTTAGTCAGAGTCATCCGACACCCCCCCCCGCCCGCTCCGCCCGACGCTCCACCCGCCCCACCCCCCTACCATCGGCAGTGGCGGCCTCCTCAAGTCGGGGGGCACTGGCCACCATGGATGACGCGGGGGGAGACGCCTGAGGGAAGGACATAGGCGAGGAGGGAGAAGGGCCCTGAGCACAGGAGAGGACCTCGCCCGTAGAAGGGTGCAGGCCTCTGGAGGCCTTGGAAAGCTTCCGCAACTGCTTGTCCCTGGTTGATGGAACCTTGGATGCGCCCTGACACTTGGCCATCAGAGCACGAGGGACACCATGCGGGAGCAACACAAAGCCAGCACAGGTGGAGCAAATCATCACACGATCATACTTCTCAATCGTGTGACCTCTCGACTCAAATTCACAGATGGCCGCCTCTCCCTCGTTTCCCGAGGGGTTTCCAGGGGGGGGAAGGGGCGGCAGCAGACCCTCAGCCACCAGGGCCTGGTCCGCTTCGACCACAGCCGCGGCCTTCACAGGCCGCGCTCGATTTCGCACCCGCAACCACTCTTGCCCCTTGAGGGCTGAAAGGGCCGAGGGTCGGCAAAACTTGGAGGGGCCGTTACACAGATGCGCCAAGGTGCTGCAGGTCCAGGCCCCGACAAAACATGAGATACATCTCACCTCCCCTGAGTCAGGGTCGAGGAAAAAAAGAGTGGCCATGCAAGCTGAGCTGCGGCGCAGGCTGGGGTCGACAAACACTCGACGGCGGGGGCAGAGAGGTCCACCGTCGGAGTCGGGCGAGCCTGGCAGCAGCCCAGGAAATATAATCGATGGTAGCACGATGAAACTTGAGTTCGCCTGCGACCGCCTCGGCCGTCGTCCTAGCTATCATGACCCTTGTCGAGGCTAGCTTGGCATACAGGTCGGCCCAAGCATTCCCGATCCAGGTTATCGGGTCCAGCTTTCGCTCCAGGACTTCCTCGAGAGAGAGGTGAGCGGGGGTCCAGACGAAGTGAGGGGGAGGGTCCTGGGCAGGCCTACGCTGCGCCAACTCAAAGACACTCCTCCAAATGGCAGCGTATCTATTCATTCCGCACGCCAATTCAGGGTCCCAAGACAAGCCTTCCTGAACCAGAGAAAGCAAATCCGAAACAAAAACCTCCAAGCTGGGATTACGCCTCATCATGGCGTGCAGGAGCGCAGTTCTCTCCGCTCTACCCACGGCCTGGACAGCACCCTCCAGGGATCCAAACACCGCACGGACAGGGAGGAGCGCATCGCTGAGCTGAACTATGGCCCACCCCGCGCGCCTAACTTCAGGCACGGCGGGGTGCTGTGCGCTTCCATCCCCGAAAGTAACAGGCCCCCACTCACCCCCAACGTCACCCCACTCCCAGACCACCGAAGATTCAGGCGGGGATGGCAGCTGGATCGAGAGCCTCGGAAAACCATAACTAAAATAGAGTCTGTCAAACTCAGGATCGAGCGGGGGGGGCGGTGTCCAAGAGCTCGCAGAGCATCCCGATGAGACGCGTGCCGCTCACACAAAACCTCAACACCAGAAGCCTCCTCGCTCTCATCGGGCTGCAACAAGCTGGGACATCCGTGCCAAACATGCCCGAAAGATCCATCATCTGACTGACAGGCTGCACAGTGCACCTTCACATCTTTTCCCCATGCAGCAAGGCGGGCAGCAGTGGGGTACCGATCAGCCCACAGTGCCCTCAGCGCTCCAAGCGGCGCCTGCCTCAAGTCACGAAGCCCAAGTCGAAGAGCTCGTTCCCAGACATCGTGAGACGCCTCCTGCACAGGCAAGTGATAAACCAGCCGCTGCACCTGCCACCGCTTGATCGATTCCTCAAGACATACCTTCATGTCGGCTGGTGCCACTCGCAGGAGATCAAAGTCCTCACCTTGGTCGCTACGCCAGTGATGAGGTCCAAGAAATGTCCAGCCAATTCTGTTAAGTGTGAGCCAGGCAGCACTCAGTGGGCCGCGCACCGCCGCCCAGGTCAGCCCTTTGTTGTTAACACGATCTGCCAAACTCAACCATGCATGTCGTAGCGCACTGAGGGGCACACGAGCATCCCAGATAAAGCAATGCAGCCGACACAACAGCGCCGTCGTCACATCAAAAATCGGGTCGTAGGAGGGAGAAGGGAGAGGAGGAGGAGGAGGAGGAGGAGGAGAAAGAGAAGGAGGAGGAGGAGGAGGAGAAGGACGAGGAGGAGGAGGGGGAGGAGGAGAGGGAGGATAATAATGAGAGAGAAAAAGAGAGCAGTTGGAGCCCCCAAGATGATATCCCGTCGTGGTCGTACGCACCCCTCCCTCCCTCCCTCCCTCCCTCCATCCCTCCTCCTCCTCCTCCTCCTCCTCCTCCTGTTCCTCCTGTTCCTCCCTCTCTTCCTCCTCCTCCTGATCCTCCTCCTCCTCCTCCTCCTCCTTTTCCTCCTCCTCCTCCTCCTGTTCCTTCTCCTCCTCCTCCTCCCTCCTCCTCCTCCTCCCCCCTCCTCCTGCTCCTGTTCCTGTTCCTTTTCCTCCTCCTCCTCCTCCTCCTCCTCCTCCTCCTCTTCCTTCTCCCTTTGCTCCTCCTCCTCCTCCTACCACTACTCCTCCTGTTCCTCCTCCTCCTTCTCGGCAAACGACGCAGTCCCCTCAGAGCAGCGCGCGCTGCGCGCACGCACGCACGCACAAACACGCACGCACGCACGCTCGCACACGCACACGCACACACACACACACACACACACACACACACACACACACACACACACACACACACACACGCACACACACGCACACGCACACACACACACGCATACACGCATACACGCATACACGCATACACGCATACACGCATACACGCATACACGCATACACGCATACACGCATACACGCATACACGCATACACGCATACACGCATACACGCATACACGCATACACGCATACACGCACACACGCACACACGCACACGCACGCGCACGCGCACACACACACACACACACACACACACACAAGCGCGCGCACGCACGCACGCACGCACGCACGCACACACGCACACACACACACACACCATCGAGACCTCCTCAGAAACCCCCGAAAACTGCGACACCGACGACGACGACAACGATGACAATCTCGCGAACACATGAAATTAAAAAATGGTTGTCAGCTGAGAGATAATGTGGTTATCAATTGCACATCCCTCTCCCTTGTACGCGACCGCGAGGCTATGCACCACACCCCTTTGGGGGGGGTGGAGGGGCGTCTGACTCAGCGGTGCATATATTCAGCTGTTGGGAGAAAAGTCTTCAAATAATATCCAGCAGTGCATTCTGGATACACACCACTCCGCCATGGCCCTCAAGCGAGCTAATTCGCCCGCGGGCAAAAGACCGACGAGGGGAAGAATCTTCTTCGTGAGGAAAACCCAGCTGCGAGGAAATATCGGGCAGGTCGTCGCAGGTGGGCCTTCACCAACTTGACTGAATTGGGAGGACGTCTTGTTCGAGAGCGCCGTTCCAGAATTCGGAGGCCTCTTCGTCCAGCGCGTTTCGGAATAAATTGTGAGGAAAGATCGAGCGGGCGCTGGTGTCATCGCAGCCGGGTCTTCATCAATTCGAATGACTTGCGAGGAAGTCTGTCGAGACCCTCTCTGGTCAGGGCGTCTTGAAAAAAATCTTCGAAATATCGAGCGGGAACCGTTGTGGTCGTAGCCAGGCCGACAAGTCCACATTTGAAATCAAGCCCGCTCTCGAGCGGGAATCTTGTTTTAAAATTAAGAAGATTGTCACTGGCGTCGAACCAAAAACGCCCGGATCCGTCTCCATTGATGAACAATCACGATCCTCTGGAGATTAATATTCTTTTTCGACGACGACGACGACGACGACGACGACGACGGCGGCGGCGGCGGCGGCGGCGACGGTGGCGGACCCTCTGGCACGGCGGGGGGCCTCCCCGAGCCCGAGCATCACGGACGACTTCGTGACGAGGCCCGAGCGCACGTCCCTGCCCACACGCGCGCGCGCACAGCGGGCTGCGGCCGGGGGGGGCGTCGCGGGCGGAGGCGCGCAGAGACGACGACCGAAGCGACGAAGACAACGGAAGTCACGGAAACGGAAACGACCACGCCGACGCCGACGCCGACGCCCGTCGCCGACGCCCGCCGCCGCCGCCGCCGCCGCCGACGCCGACGCCGACGCCGACGCCGACGCCCACGCCGACGCCGACGACGACGACGCCGACGCCGACGACGACGCCGACGCCGACGACGACGACGACGACGACGACGACGACGACGACCCGACACAGGCAGAGGCAGGGACAAGGGCAGACAGACAGAGAGGCATGCACGGACAGAGGCGGGCTGCAGGGCTGGACGGCAGGGCACGGGGCACGAGAGGGCAGCAGGAGACGGGACGGGGCGGGGCGGGGCAGGCGGCAGGGCAGGCGGCAGGGGGTCCGAGACGCAGAGCGAAGGGGGGAAGGCGGAGAGGAAGGATCGCCGCCAACGCTGCGGTCGGCCCGCCGTCCCAGAAGGCCAGGGGGGAGAGGGGCAGGATCGACCAGCAGAGGCCCCGCAGAGGCGGGGGGCCGACCGGCAAGGAAGGGCCTCTTGCCCGTCTGGGCCACCTGCCTGACCCTGGGAGGGTCTGCCCGGTCGCTCAGCGACGCAGCAAGTCATTGGGCCTGGATCACCGTCGCTCCTGAGCCCAGGATAGCTCTGGCCCCCAAGACGGCCCCGTGTGCTGGGTGAGCCTTGCTGGGTGCCTCCGTGGACCGCCGCGGCGCGATCATAAACGTGACTTCGACGTGATGTCGCCGAGACTTGGACCCTCTTCGCCCTTTCGTCCAGATTTCGTCCAGATTCCCCAACCAGCGCTTGCACTTAGGAGTCCGTACTTCTGGAACAAAGAACTGGGCCTGTCTGTCGGTTTGGCGGCTATGTTGTCGCCGTCGCCACCCAGTCGCCGCCTCGACGCCGCCTGTAACTCGGTCTGTCTGTCGGTTGGCGGCTATGTTGTCGCCGTCGCCACCCCGTCGCCGCCGTCGCTGCCGTTTTATTATCCTTCCTTAAAAGAAAATGAATTCTACCACCCTGCCCTCCCCAGGGATAAAGATCCCCCCGGAACCGATGCAAAGCACATTGGATTATGACCCAATGTCCATCCTGCGACTTCATATTATCCCGGCCAAACCGGTATCGACCCCCCCCGCCATCCTCTGCAAAAAAACTATGCGCGCACTCGATTCTCAAAAATCATAAGTTGACCAGAATCCCTTGCAAAAAACGTGACGAAGTGCACACGCGCGCGTCGTCGCGCGCGCATGCCGAAATCCTTTGAAACAAAATCTGCGGTTTCGGGAAGGTTTCGCAACACTGATGTTTAAAAAAAAGATTACGCGCGCGCTCTTGCGAAATCTTAAGAAAGTCATAGGTGTTTCAAGATGTTCAAAAGAATGTTACCAAAAGGGCTTCGCGCGCGCACATGTCGAAATCTTTCGAACGCCCTTGCGCGCGTGCCGTCGCGAGAGGCCTCTACAAAAAACGTGACGAAATGCACGCGCGCGCATGCCGAAATCCTTCAAAAACCTCCAGTGTCGGAAGGATGTCAAAATCTAGTGTCCGAAAAATATACAACAAAAAAACGAGGGTTTCGCAAAACGGATTTTCAACAAAAGCGTGCGCGCGCGCTGTTGCGTCGTCGTCGTCGTCGTCGCCGTCCTCCCTCCTCCCTCGTTTTCGTCGTCGTCGCCGTCGTCGTCCGTTGTCTGTCCTCGTCGTCGTCGTCGTCCTCTTTGGCGTCGTCGTCGTTTCCGTCGTCGTTGTCGCCGTGGTCGTCCTTCCTCCACCCTCATCGTCGTCGTCGTCGTCCGTCCGTCGTCGGCCTCTCGTCGTCGTCCCTCCTATTTCGTCGCCGCCGTCGTCGTCGTCGTCTTCCCTCCTCCGTCGCCGTTGTCGTCGTCGGCGTCGCCGTCCTCCCTCCATTTTCGTCGTTCGCGTCGTCGCCGTCCTCCCTGCTCCCTAGTCGTTGTCGTCTTTGTCGCCGTCGTCGTCATCCCTCCTCCCTCGTCGTCGTCGCCTTTGTTGGCGACGTCGGCGTCGTCGTCGTCTTCGTCGACGTCGTCGTCGTCGGCGTCTTCGTCGGCGTTGTCGTCGTCGTCGTCGAAATCGTTGGAGACGTCGCCGAAATCGTTGGAGACGTCGTTTGTGTCGTCGTAGTCGGTGTCGGCGGCGTCGTCGTCGTCGTTGTCGCTGTCGTCGTCGGCGTCGCTGCCAAATGCCATTTGGTACCTACCGTCACGGTCTTAAGAGGTATTGCGACCAAGTTGCGGGTGGGAGGGTGGGATGTTTGCACGCGCGGTGGAGAGGACAGCCTCAAATTGAGCAAGCGAATTGCACCGCATAAGTTGCACCACATGGGTTGCAAAGCGTCGATTGTCCAACAAGGATTGCACACATAGATTTCACAACATACTGTGCACCAAAAGTATAGATCCACATCGATTGCACAGCATACGTTGCGCAACACGTAGTTTCTCCATTATACCCACCCCCGGAATATCCGTCCCCCTTTTCGTACTTTAAGTTGCATGTGATTTTGGCCCGTCGTCCATCGTAAATATGAACTCATACCATCCCAGCACAGCCCGTATCGAACCCCTCCGTCATCCTCTGGAACATGTAATATGCGCGCACACTCGTTTATCAAACATCCGAAGTTTCCAAGAATCTGCAACAAATACAACGAAGTGCACACGCGCGCGTCGTCGCGCGCGCATGCCGAAATCCTTCCAAAACCTTAGGTGTCGTAGAGATTTCGCAGCACGGATTTCCCCCCCCCAAAAAAAAAACTCGCGCCCGCGCTGTTGCGAATTCTTAAGAACACCATAGAAGTTTCAACATTTTCATAAAATCCTACCAAACGGGCTTTGCGCGCGCGCATGTCCAAATCGCTCGAACGCCCAAGCGCGCGTGGTGTCGCGAGAACCCTTTTGCACAAAGTGAAAGGAAGTGCACGCGCGCGCGCCGTCGCGCGCGCATGCCGAAACCCGTCAAAAAAACCGAAAGTGTCGCAAGGATGTAAAAACGAATGTCGCCAAACCATATTAAAAACATGCGGTGTTGCATCAACCGTGTTCAAAAAATGCGCTCGCGCTGCTGCGAAATTCTTCTTAAATACAGAAGCGTAGTTTTCAACATGTTCATTGAATTCAGCCAAACGGGCCTCTAGCGCCGCATGCCGAAATGATTTGAACGCCCTTGCGCGCGCGCTGGGGAGGCCCCGATCCAAGTCAAATAATGCCATGCGGGCCACTCTCGCGCGTCGGCCGCACGCGCATGTCAAACTCCATCCACAACCTTCATCACCGACGCGAAGACGCCGTCATCGACGCCGGCGTGATTAGCACCGGCGCCATCACTGGCCGTGCCGTCGTCGTTGTCAACATCGCCACCAGCATTGCTACGATCATCACAGTGTCTACTGTTGCCGGCGTTGCCATGATACCGCGCCCGTCCAAGTCGCTGGCTCGCACTGAAGTGCCTGCTGGGATGTGCCAAGCTGTCAGCGCCACCGCGGCCGCGTCGGTCGCGCCAAACTAGCTGGCCGCCGCGCGCAAGTGCATGCGCGGGCTGGCGCGGCCGCGGGGATGCACCAGCCAACGCCAAGCACTCATGGCAATCGCTGCAGGTCGTTCTTTGCAAAACAAGTTGCGGGTGAGTGGGTGGGAGGGTTGGGCAAGCAGCGGAGCTGACAACTGCGAGCGCCATAAGCGAATTATCCTTTATTCTCCTTTCTAAAAGAAGAATAGACTCTACCCCCCCTGGACTTAACGGTACACCTTTCCGTATTGCAATTTACATATGATTCTGCACACTCGTCCATCCAAAATATGAATTCATACTATCCCAGCCAGGCCGGTATCGCCCCCCCCATCCGCTACAAAAAACGCTATGCGCGCACACTCGTTCATCAAAAACCACATGTTCAAGAATCCCTTTGCGAAAAACGTGACGAAGTGCACACGCGCGCGTCGTCGCGCGCGCATGCCGAAATCCTTCAAAAACCTTCGGTACCAGAAGGATGTCACAATCGAGCTTCCAAAATGAACCTACACAAACACAGGGTTTCTCAACACTGATGTTCCAAAAAAGCTTACGCGCGCGCACTTGCGAAATCGTCAGAAAACCATAGGTTTTACAGGATGCTCTAAAACAAAAAATACTACCAAACGGGCTTCGCGCGCGCGCATGTCGAAATCCTTCGAACGCCCTTGCGCGCGTGCCGTCGCGAGAATCCTTTGCAAAAGACAAGACGAAGTGCAGACGCGCGCGTCGTCGCGCGCGCATGCCGAAATCCTTTCAAGACCTTCGGTTCCGGAAGGATTTCAAAATCGTGTGTCCAAACAGCATACAGAAACGCAAGGTCTCGCCACACGAATTTTCAACAAAAGCGAGCGCGCGCGCTCTTGCGTCGTCGTCGTCGTCGCCGTCCTCCCTCCCCCCTCGTCGTCATCGTCGTCGCCATCGTCGTCCTCTGTCTTTCCTCGTCGTCGTCGTCCTCTTTGGCGTCGTGGTCGTTTCCGTCGTCGTTGTCGCCGTGGTCGTCTTTCCTCCTCCTCCCTCGTCGTCGTCGTCGTCCAACGTCGTCGTCTCGCCGTCGTCCCTCCTATTTCGTCGCCGTCGTCGTCGTCGTCGTCGTCTTCCTTCCTCCTTCGTCATTGTCGTCGTCGGCATCGCCGTCCTCCCTTCTTTTTCGTCGTTCGCGTCGTCGCTGTCCTCCCTCCTCCCTCGTCGCTGTCGTCGTTGTCGCCGTCGTCGTCCTCCCTCCTCCCTCGTCGTCGTCGTCTTCGTTGGCGACGTCATCGTCGGCGTTGTCGTCGTCGTCGTCGTCTTTGTCGTCGTCGGCGTCGGCGTCGTCGTCGTCGCCGCCGTCGTCGTCGTCGTCGTCGTCGTGGTCGTCGGCGTCGTCGACGTCGTCGTCGGCGTCGTCGTCGGCGTCGTC